GATGAATGTCAGCTCTGAGTCAAAATGTACACCTAGGTTTCTTGCAGTGGGTTTTATGTTGAGAGAGGGGACCAAGGGCTCACTGGGGATGACTCATATTGTTTAACAATATAACTTACAAAAGAAATCCAACTGTTAATCTCTTTAAGACAGGAAGGTATATCTGTGTGTCGTCTGCATACAACGACACATTATGGTGATTGATAATCCAGCCACGTGGGAGAATATAAATAATAATAAAATGATTATTATTGATAAGGTATCATTATTGATCGTTAGTGACTGAAGGTTGAAGAAATGGAGACAGTAACAATCTGTATCATATTCCACCATATGGTCTGTGTATTAATCAATAATCAATAATCTGAGCAGTTTCATCAGGTTTCAGTCAGAATTATTGTCAGTTGAAATGTTACATCAGCAGTAACTGGCTGTCTCCATGGCAACGGTAGACTTCCTGTTTACAGTGAGGTGGGGGGGTTCAAAGAGAGCCTGTGATTATGGGATGTTCACTGTATTCTGTGTGTAACTACACTGATTATCAGCAGGAGAGGAACTTATTGATCAGGATCAATAAAGGACTGAACGTCCTCTCTTCTTCACTTTATTGACGAAGTATCAAACACTGAATCTCCTCTGTACAGGAAGTGAGTGGCTTCCTGTTGTGGCTCACCTGTCAGCTGACCTGCTGGCTTACTGAGTGTGCTCAGTCGGGGTTTTCCATCAACACACAGATTTTGGTGCCAACACACGGTAAGTCGATGTCTTAAAGTTCTTCGATTTAACATCCTTTAGAGTTCAGTCCTGGTTGATCCGGATCCTGTAGTCTCTGCTGGTAAATGTGGTTCTGTTTAACAAACTATTAGTTAAAATAGTTAGTTAGTTAAAATAGTTAGTTAGTGGTTTTAATAAAGCAGTCAGGCAATAATTGGCCTGTTTGCATCATTCGTGAACAGCGACCGTAACTCTGGTTACCTCACACCAATACTTCCCGTTTACAGACAATGTTACCACTTTCATCAGTATTTTTATTAATTATTGATCAGATATTTATTCCATATGGTTTATATGACATTTATTGGCAGTTAGATGTGACGCAACAGTTACATCATCTCAGACCAAAACAACCAGACGGTGGAAATAATCCTAAATTCACCGATACAACACAGGCAGAGTGAGACACCATGTGACTGTCTCCGTTCAATAACATTGAGATATTATTGATCAGTGATCCTGTGTGTATGTTAATGTATTGTAATCTGCTGATTAATGAGATAATATGACACAGCTGATGACCTCCTTAATGGTTAATTATTGATCATTAATCTGCAAATCAAACTTCAGCTGTCAGTTCAAGTTTGACCTCTGATGACATCACTAGAACTGTCCAATCAGTGAGCTTCCTGTCAGCCCATGTGACTTCAGTGCGTTTGTTTTTCCAGGATCCGTTCAGACCGTCATCATGGTGTTAGCCGACCTGGGGAGGAAGATCACCTCTGCGCTGAGGTCACTCAGCAACGCCACCATCATCAATGAGGAGGTAACTCGGGTCACGTGACCAAAAATATCACATGTTCCGATTATTTGACCTTTTCTGATTTAATCGTCCGGAGCCATGAAGTGTTCAGGGTGTCTTTATAAATATAAAGGCTGAATATGTTGTTGATGACACCTGGAGCAGCAGACTGACTGTCAGAGTTTCAGGTGCTCAACGCCATGTTGAAGGAGGTGTGTGCTGCTCTGCTGGAGGCCGACGTCAACATCAAACTGGTCAAACAGCTGAGAGAGAACGTCAAGTGAGTATCAAACACTAGAGTCCTGCTCCAGGATCTAAACCGGATCCAGTCCAGCAGCTGAGATTGAACCTCTCTCTCTGGTGTCCCTACAGGTCTGCCATAGATCTGGAGGAAATGGCTTCAGGTCTGAACAAGAGGAGGATGATCCAACACGCCGTCTTCAAGGAGCTCGTCAAGGTCCGATCATCAGTCCTGGAAAAGTTTTCCAGAACTCATAATGTTCTTAAACTGTAGTAAAAATCAGTTCAGGAATTAACTGCAGGGTGTGTTTGCTGTGTTTCCAGCTGGTGGACCCCGGTGTGAAGGCCTGGACCCCCACCAAAGGAAAGAACAACGTCATCATGTTTGTTGGTCTGCAGGGTAGCGGGAAAACTACAACCTGCTCCAAGGTGACGGCACACACCTGTAGATAGACTCCACCCTCGCGTAGATAGACCACGCCCCCTATGTTGACTAGTTGTGATGTAATTTGATGCAGAGCGCCCCCTGCTGTCTGTTGTCTCACTGACTGCTTTGTTTCCTGCAGCTGGCCTATTATTACCAGAGGAAAGGTTGGAAGACCTGCCTGATCTGTGCTGACACTTTCAGAGCTGGTAAACACTTTATTTACCTGTAAACAACAACACTTTATTCACCTGTAAACAACAACACTTTATTCACCTGTAAACAACAACACTTTATTCACCTGTAAACAACA